ACTGTTGGTAGTTGTAATTGGTTTAGTAAACAATGCCGAATTGTAATAGTATGGCTACTCGTTTTTATTAAGCTAAGCTAATGTAGGCTAACATCAGTTGGCACTTGTTGCCATAGCAACCAAACCAGCTGACAGAAGCGCTCACTTAAAGGTAAACTCCCTCTTGTGGCCGAACAGGTCAATAACGCTGGTCTTCAATATGTACTATCCCTGGGTGCAGAAAGTGCGTAGTTTAAGGGTGTTAGCAGTCAACGTTGTACTCCCTGGAAGTAGCATTTCCATCATGTGATTTTTGCATTCATTTGCAAGGTTTCCTTGATTATTCTTGATGTTCTTTATCAATATTTTTAGCAAGACATCCATACAGTTATATACTACAATGTTTATTCAAAATTTGATAGTCAAATGTATATGTTAGGACAAGAAGTTCAAAGTTAATGGCAAGAAGCCAGCCCAACATACATGTTATTTTATTTTATTATTTCATCTCAATACAGCTCCATGGCATGAGCTAAACTGTATACTGGTTGCCAAAATATTTATTGTTCATATCATGTTGTAGTTTACAAAATAGTGACTGTGCTCCAGTTGTCTGGACTTCCTCAACCACGTTACCTGAAGGCAACGTGGTTGAGGAAGTTCTTTGTTATGCTGTCACTCATGATGACATGCCCCTCTCAGTTGATACCACGCCCCCCACGTTAGATCAGGGTCAAAAGTCTGAACTGGAAAAAAAAGATATGAAACCGAAAAAAACGATTTGAATCTGAAAATATAAAATCTGAAACTGAAAAATATAAGAACTCAAATATCAAAATATATATGAAAGTGAAAAATGTAAAAAAAAAAAAAAATGTATTTGAAAAAATTCCAGAACTGAATCAAAATTATATTCAACCCCAAAAAAAACTTTTCATTCACTTATTTTTATTTTGAATACATTGCTGTATTTTTCAATGTTCAAGACCACCAACTTGAACTTTCAGGTTCACAATTTTTTTTCTTCAAATGAACAAAACTTTTGACCTGGATTCAGCGTAAACAAAACCTAAACATAGCGGCATCATTATAATATTAGTAATTTGTTCATTCTGCTTAGGTGCTGAGAAACGTTTATATGGGCAGGTCAAACCCTGATTTCCATAAATTGTATGCACATTTCGGCAGATCTGGTATATACCGTTTTGCAGCCGATTCCATTCTTTTATCATCAGCTTCCGTGATGCCGTCCGTGTTTTCCACTTTTCGGGCTCAACGCCGATGTGAAGAGTGGTGATAAATAAATAAAAATAAATAATTAAAGAAACTTTAAAGTGTTAGATTTGGGAACTGGTGGTAGAATGTGTTTTAATACAAAATGTATTGAAATGTCTATAGAGGCTATGTTTAATCTCCAACAGACAATTCACACAAAAAGTGAAGTGTTTGAATGAGTTTTTTTATTAATTCCGATAACACGGCTTGGTTACAGACAGAGTTTTAGACAGCAGAGATTCCACTCCTCGGTTGTTCTACCTGCCAAAATGGCTGCTGGTGTTGAACCGCTCTGCAGACACACTCCAGACGTAATAGTTAAAGGCCCTCACAGTCCATTGAATGGTGCAGCTCTGCTCTAATCTGGCAACCCCCTCCCCCTTTTCTTTCCCTACATGCTCTGCTTTCAGCTTCTTTTCTCTCTCCCGGGCCTGACATGGCTTCCCCTCGGCTTTTGATCTGGGTTGGACGGGAAGTCTGCAAGTCCAAGAGGACTCTTTAGTTTTCTCCAATCATGAATTGAAGGAGTTTGGAGAATCCTGATAGGCTGTCAGCCCGAGAATCAAATTTCAACTAGTCTGCAACCCCTTCTTCTGCTAGATGTGTTCCATCCAATCAATGATGAGTTAGCAGTATAGTAATCTGGCACCGAACATTTCAATAAACATATTTTTATAACAAAAAGTAATTTGTTACCAATACTGTCATTGTTAAGCAGAAATCAGTTAATTTTGTCTTTTTAAGTCAAAATTGATCATCTTTTCTTCCTTTATATCTAAAATGGTCTTCTTACGTAGCTTAGTGTCTGCATACCTGCAAACTTGTCGCTTTTTGGCGAAATTCGCCGTTTTGAATCAAAATGTCATCCACGTGAATCGTATAGATCCGTAGAGTTTTAATTTCTTTTGGGGGGGGGGGGGGTGATGACGTGATCTTCACAATAAAACATCTTTGATGTGACGTGTCGAGTGTTGGCCATTCAGCGATAAGATGTCTACATCGTCTTCATTACCCTCCAACTTAAGGCTAACGTCCACTGCATTTGAAACTTTGTCGACTGTTAACGTTCGTCATTATTGCAATTTAGGAGGAAAAAACGTAACGTGATGAAACATTCAGCCCCCCCTTGTTCCGGTTCAGTTCACGCGGTCACTCCTTAACGCTAAACCTGAACACTGGCGCATCTGGTTGCAGGTTGTTTTTTTTAACTCAAAGTAGAATGAGGATGATTTCGTGGTCAGAATAACTTTCATGACCACGAAACATGAGGCCCAGATACTGATGAGATGCTGAGGTCAAAGAGCTTCAGGAAGAGGAGGCTGGTTGTGTAGCGCAGCTTGACGCAGGGCTGAGATGTGAAGGAGCTGGGCCTGGATAAAGGTGGAGGTCTAAACAGACGTGAAGGGAGAACAACATTTTATCTGTGTTGTGAAAATGGGACCTCCGTCTCAATGGATTTTGTCTAAATAAAGGTTGATAATAATAATATTGATTGGAGAAAAAAAAAAACTAACTATCCAGCTGTTCAACTAGAGCTGAAATACTGATTAATAACAAATTAGTTTTTTGCTTAAAGTAAATGCTGTCTTATCACTTAATTTTCTTCTCAGAGTACAACAGAATGCTACATTTTAATGCTCATATTTAAAATAAAATGCCCCCGCACCCCCCCAACAGGGTTTTGGGTTAGGGTGCTTGTCACCTTTTTCACCTCTTATGAGTTTGCAGGTATGTATCGAACTATTTTAACCAATAATCCATCAATCCATCTTTAACTTGTAGCACCGTATTGCACTACATTCGTAGCCTGCCCACTTTTAACCATCCAATCAAATGCAAAGGGCTCGATATGAGTCCCTCTTGTAACGTACACCGCTCAAATATTCTGTTTCATTGGGGAATACGTCACAGTACACAATAGGGTTGTACAGGTATGACATTTTCAGAACATCCAGTTACATTTTGATCGGTGCACCCGTTAATCGTTTAGTTGAATCAAATGCTGTTTCTGTGTTCTTTGAAACAATAATCAAACAATAATACTGTGTCAGAGTGCAGGCTACTCACTCATTTCAAAAGGACCTCTTTGTTGATACAGTGGCAAACAGGGCTACACGTTGCAGAAAGATCGATGGATTACTGGTTGAAGTTGTTTGGTGCCAAGTTATGTTGGACCACTTCATATTTAGTTTTACAGGAAGCAGAGATGATCGGATTGTGGTATGAATAGACAAAGAAATTGATTTGGTACGACTATGCCAGGCGAGCCGTCCCTCCTCTCTTGATCCGTGCATCGCGTTCTCGCGTTTTTAGACGCGCATACAAGTTAAATTATTCTTAACTTTTCAGGGTGGAGTCGTACCTCTCCTCAATAGCACTCATGGCCCAGGCAGCCAATCAAATCGAGCAAGAGGCGGGCTTCACTACTTTACCATTACCTAGATGTGGTAGGAACAGACCAAGGCAGACAGAAGGTTGATATTAGCTTTTTTTTAAATTACAATGAACTATAAAATGCTCCCCATCCTCATTCAACAGCAGAGCAAGAGATGAAGATCTGCATTGAATCTGTTTTTCTCCCATTATTTACATTTGATCGGCCGGTTGCGCTCCACCGGCTCAACAGCTGTTTCGCCTAACTCCCTTTTCTACGGGGTGTTTTTGAAGCGACCGCGTCTGCTGCGACACGTCTCTGTGTGATCGGGGCCTTGAGCTCTGTTTATACTCGCGCCGCAGAGGCTCTGAGCATGAACGGAGGCATTTATAACAAATGTAGTCTGAAGAATCCAAGAGACAACGAGTGTAACCCAGAAACTCGCCCATAGACTGTAGGTGTAACCGGCAAGAAGCCATAAAGCAACCTCCACTATGACGAGGAGGGAGTGCAATTATCTGTAATCTCATATCTCATATTCATGGACTACTGTATTGCCTTTGTCCAAAACCTGTAAATAAATAAGTCAGGTGTTACATGCATTATACGGAAACAATTTGATTTGGCGGGAAAATATTTACTCAAAGGAAGATTTTTAGGGCGTCTTGTTTTAAAAGCATTTAAAAGCAAATTGGTAAATAGTGCTTTTATCAGTGAACTGTTTGTGACAGTTGGTGATCGCGCACCCCAAGTTACAAAAATTCGGAGGTGCACGACCACAGGAGCCAACACGCGCCCTCGTGATTACGTCATTTTCTGGTGCGCCTTGCACCGGCTTCTCTACGGCGAGTGTACATTAAACTGTGGTTACCATCATCCAGCCGTTACAGCCCCGTTAATCTGAGTGTGGATTTTAATGTTCGAAGTCACATGGGTGGACGGGTGGTCGTGTTTATTGTTGTTTGGGAATTATCAGACTCGTGTTTTGTTCTTGACTAATTTTGCAGCTTTTGGGGGAGTTTTATCAGAGTTTCGATGCATGTTTCATTTTATTTGTCAGCCAGTGTAGTTAAAGACAAAACGGCTGCTCGTCACTTGTACATGCAGCTTGTGGCTCCACTTCAAACTGTACTTCAGCTCTTTATGGCTGTTCTAACCCTTCTTCATCTTCATTGTCTCTGCCTGCTTCCTCTTGGGTCCACCAGAGGCGCCCCCAGCAGACGTCAAGCTGGCGACCGTAGCAGGAAAGAAGGGCAAGAAGGCCGAGGAGGAGGAGCAGCCTGCAGCACCTGCAGTAGCAGCAGACGCAGCAGCACCACCAGCAACAGCAGCAGCAGCAGCAGCACCACCAGCAGCAGCCGCCGCAGCAGCAGCCGCCACAGCAGCAGCACCACTAGCAGCGGGTGCAGCAGCAGCAGCGGGTGCTGCAGCACCCGAGGAGGAGGAAGAGGAGGAGTATGTGGTGGAGAAAGTGTTGGACCGCCGGGTGGTGAAGGGCAGAGTAGAGTTTCTGCTGAAATGGAAGGGCTTCTCAGAGTGAGTATGAGTCGAATAATACTTGGCCCTGAGATCTTAGTTCAAAGTGGTGAATAATGTCCACATACAGTATCATCTTCACGTTTAGAGTTTCACCATTAAGTTACAGCCCTGCAAATAACCTCAGAAAATTGCATTTAAATAAAAAGAGACAGAAAGAATTGTTAGAGTGGGTGAATTTATTTAACTAAAACCTCTTCCGTTCATTCACTCGGTCTGCACCCACCTCTCCAGGGAGGATAACACGTGGGAGCCGCAGGACAACCTGGACTGCCCCGACCTCATCGCAGAGTACATGCAGAAGCATAAAGAGAAGGAGGAGAAGAAGAAGGAGGGCAAGAGGAAAGTCGTCAGTGAGACCTCGGGAGACTCGGAGGAGCGAGGGAGCAAGAGGAAGAAAGAGGAGGTGAGCGAAGGTTGCTCCAGACCAAAGACTAAAAAAAACTAAATAATATATATTTCTTTAACTAATCATGTACAAAATCTACACACAGGTGCTTTCACGATCATTGCAGCATTGTCTCTTGCTGTCTGTTTTCCTTCTTTGGTCATGTGTTCTCTTGTGTTGCTCTACTTCCTGTCTCCAGGGTGAGAAGGCCAGAGGTTTCGGCAGAGGTCTGCAGCCGGAGAGGATCATCGGAGCGACGGACTCCAGTGGAGAGCTCATGTTCCTCATGAAGTGGTGAGCCTTTGTTTTTTTACATTTTAAAGATGGATGCACCAGTCCGGTGCACTTTGAGAGCAAAAGGAAGAGGCTGGCTCTATGAAGAGCATTGCACTCCTGCATACAGCTCTGTGCTCTAGCAGTGGTGGAATGTACCCAAGTACATTTCAGCTCTGGGGAAATTGCACTGCTGCTGCTGTTGTACTTCTGCTCCACTACATCTCAGAGGGAGATGTTGTACTTTTAACAGTGTTAGTTACGAGTGAGGCTACTTTGCAGATTCAGATTCTCAACACAATAATATATATACAGTATACTTATAAACTGATGTATCCACGAGCATATAATTATTAAGTATATTTTAAGTAGTTGGAATGAGCTCATCCTTTATCAGGTAGGTGCAATGATAAAGTGATGAACATTAATGATTTGATAAATTCATAATTAATATGTCCCGGCTGAACCGGTAGGGGTGTAAAGAATAACGGACATGTCGGAAAATCGATACAAGAGTATTGGATACGGCTACGGTTGTTTTACAAGCGAGCGTTCTCTACATTCAGACCGTTGGAGAGTCTACGGGATGTCCTGCTTGAGGGTGGTTATGCTTCTGTCTGCCCTTCTGGAGCAGCTGACAGTCCTCACAGGGCCCAGCCATGCTAGCTGCTAGCTTGTTGTTAGCGTCAACCGTTGTGGAAAAATGTATCTCTATGTTCTCTTACTTGTCTTTTGTCATGTAAGAGATTATAGAAAATCTGGGCTTCTCCCTCCCCCTGTCTGTCCCCGTCCACACAAAGACAAACAAGACCAGACTAGCCAGTTAGCCAACCAACCGCAACACAAGCTAGTCACTGACTGCGTAACGATTGCTCTGCCAGAGGTGTGGTTTCTCCCTCTCTCACCCAATTACTGTGCTACCAGACATGGTTTCTTAAATGAACATGTTTACGTGTTTGTTTGTTTTAAATCACTGCTTTTAAAGCTATAGCTCTTAAAGCTATAGAACGACTTCACCTGTGTGTAGTGGTTCCCAGCTGGTCTAGCCTCAGTGGCCGTATTCACAAAGGATCTGATCTAGCCACTAGGGCGGGGCATTACAGTGACTTTTTAAGGCATGTTCAACAAAATAAGACAATAACGTTTATATCGATATAGTATGATGATGCTGCGTTGCGCGACCCGTTTCTCCTCTCGATCACACCCTCCGGGCAACCCCCTCCCCACTCTTCTGTGTCTTGGCCACCCCTGGTCAACAGCGATTGGTTGAAATAGTTGCCACACTTTGCCTGGGCGGGACCCTGCTTGACCGCATGTTTGTACTGCAGGAAGTTGAAATCAGGCCAGAACTGACCACTGGGAGGATTCCTGTCGGCCTGTCTAGCTGATTGGCTGGGACCGAGTTGAAAAGGCAAAATGAAATGTGTAAATCAAAGAGAAAACGGCACGGGGCAAACTCCAGTCACTCACTTCAACCACTGTTAACCGGATGGTATGATCTCTGGAACAAAACATTCATTTAGTGTGGAGGAGAACATGGATGGAGCTGAGGAGGAGTGTGTTACAAGGAGGAAAGTGACAATGAATGCAGCAACATTATTGATATGTGCACAAGCAACAGGCATGTTAACAAATGTCAATATTCCAATAAATATATGTGTTGAAATTGTCGGGAGGAGAGCTAGTAACGTTGGCAGCACAGGAAACTCAGTTTGTGTTTATTGTTGGAGGAAATAGATGAGGAGGGGCCATTGTCTTAACACTTTTCTCTCTTTTGCTCTTCCTCGCTTGTTTCTCTATTGCCTCTCAACTCCACCTTCTGTCTCCCTCCTCCTCCACTCCTCCTTTTTCTACTTTCCCTCTTGAATTCAAATGAACAGGAAGAACTCTGACGAGGCTGACCTGGTCCCCGCCAAGGAGGCCAACGTTAAATGTCCCCAGGTGGTGATCTCTTTCTACGAGGAGCGCCTCACCTGGCACTCTTACCCCACAGAGGAGGAGGAGAAGAAAGAGGAGGAGAAAAAGGACTAGATGAGTGGTGGTGGAGGAGGTGCAAAGACGGAAAAAAAAAACGGAAGTGTTGAGGGGCGGGAAATAAACATTTAGCTGGTTAACGTTGGTTTGCTGGTAATTGATTGTAGCAGCCACTTTGGCAGCAAGAGTAGAGAGAATCACACATGATTAGGGTTGAACTGCCAAGGTAGCTGACCGAGGAAACGTGTTTGTTTTCCTGCCCTGAGAGGAGACAGGCGCACTTTCCTCCTGTTTTCCACCTGTATCTCGACTGAAAATGTAAAAATCTGTTCTTTGTGCCACCCGGGTTTCTCATTTATTTTCTACATTCTCCAATCGGAACTCTCAGCACGCTCGGAGCATTCCTTAGTTTGCCCGGCTCGCTATGTTTAACACGCGTTTTTTGATATTTGCATAATTACAACGGCATAGAACTTTGAACTCGGCACGATTGACTCTCCCACACGAGGGTGCTCTCTCTGCTGCCTAATGTTCATGTGTTGTGTATACTGTATTAAAACTAGCATAGTAGCTTCCAGACCAAGGGGTTGCTGGTTCAGATCCCTTTTTGCTTTGGGTGGCCTTTTGCTGCTGGTACTGACCATGAAGAGAGAAATTATATTGTAATGGATCCATTAATTTCATCTTGATGATGATTTTTTTTAAACAAATTTGCCTTTTCTTTCTCATTTTGATGAGCCCCGAACCATCAGTGACACGTGACAGAAGACACGTACAAACCCAAAGGGTCCAATTCTTCAAAACAGGCGACGAGGTTGTGTAAGCATATCAAAACTACATCGTACAACAAAGGCCAAACGATGTGATGTATTTTAGTTTTTCGTTCTCTAAAGTTAGTTTGCTCAGCTGTGAATAACTTCTAACATATGAGGTGTGACTTGCTGTAACTATTGTATGTTAGTGTGTCTATACTGGGTCTCAGTCTACCCTTTCTACTCTGTTTTCACGCGAAAAAATATTTCCAGTAAACTTCCTTTTTTAGGACTTCTGGTCTTTGGGATGCATCTTATTTTCTTCACCATGTAAATCAGTGTTATGAGCATTAAGTCCTGCACCCTGACTGCCTTATGTTATACTTCACCATTGACAGGAAGGGATCAAATCAGCTGCACCCGGGTCTGCTAGTTAGCTTTTCTATATCGTCCCTGAAATGTTTCTCTGTATTTAGCGGATGAGCTTGTGTCGTCCTGTTGCATGTTTATCAGTTTCCCTTCGCGATGTCACTGTCATGGCCAATCTACTTTTACTTGTCTGTTTTGAACAATAAAGGGTTTTCGTAACAGTTTTTTCTTCGGTGTCAATTGGTCCTGTCCTGTTTTATAGGACGTCCTGTTTTGAAACGATGCAGAAAAATGAGTTCATGAATTTCTTAATTCTAGGCTAGGCTGTTGCAATTCCTTATTGGGCTGCTCTAATAAGTCTATCAAGACTCCAGTTGATTCAGAATGCTGCAGCACGTTTAACAACGAAAACGAAGAAAGTATTACTTGCGTGTTAAGGTTTATAGTTGGGGCTGTCTCAGGTTTATAGTTGGGGCTGTCTCAGGTTTATAGTTGGGGCTGGCTCAGGTTTATAGTTGGGGCTGGC